CTCCTTCCTGGGTGCTCGCTTCTGGCGCACGGGGAGCAGAGAGCTGCTCTTCCCCCCGCGTCCCTGGCACAGCCCCCCTGAAGCGTGGGAAGGGTCGGGAAAGAAGGCTTGAAGAGTCAGGGGGATGGTGCAGCCTTCAGCGTTCGCCGGAGGAGAAGGTTGTTGGATGAATGCGCCGTTGTGCTGCCTGCCGTGAGACGCGATGGAATATCTGGTTTGCTCCCGTCTGTTTCAGGTGAAAGACGAGTTCCCGGAGAGCGACGTTAAACCTGAGGCTGTCCGAATGCCAGCTCCCACCCTGCAGCCTGCTCCGCTCAGTAAGTAACCAGCTCAGTAACCTTAACTGGGAACTTGCTGTTACTTTAAATAAGAACTCCCCTTGCCTCGTGCTGTAGGGTGAGAAATTCTTCTGGAAGAGGAGGACGACAGTGACACTTGGAGCTTGCTGGTATTGCTGGCCATTTTGGCAGAGAGCATAAAACAGGCTGAACCAGAGCAAAAGCCCACAGGAGCCTTCAGACTCAAATTCTGCAGAGGGACAGTGCCACTGGAGAAAGTGACAATGCCCCGGTAGTAAGAAGAGCTTTTCTGGATTGTAACATCTCTAAAAGCTCATTCCACTCACATCTACCCTCTGCTTCCTCATCCCTTTAAGCTTCTATGTTATTCAGTGGTCTTTACTTCATCTCTTTTTTGCTCTGCCTCGTGTGCCTCATCACATCAGTTGTGCTGCTGGAAGAAGACCTGGAGAAAGATGCACTAAAGTGTCATACATCAAAGAAAAGCTTGGGTCCTGTCGTGGTGGCTGCTGGAGAGGAGAACTAGAGTGAATTTGCTGTAATTCCCAGTTCCTCCAGTGTTCCCTGCTAGCTCAGCGGTTGGTGTCTTCCATTCCTGGACTTTGCTTGATGGGGATCTCTGCTGCAGGAGCAATCTCTGCACTCAAAGGCAGGCGAGCAGGGATAGAAGAGGTCGCCTCTAGATGCCGGAAAGGCCATTTGTATAAGTTCCTGGCAGAAGACCTCTTCTGGAACAGCTGCTGGCTGTAGGCCCACCAAGCCAAGGGTCGGGATAGCCTCTCTGCAGCATGTCTTCCAAGCCAGAGCAGAAGGAGAGCCACCAGGCCAATGGGGCTGTGCTACCTATTGTGCCCGTGGACTGTCTCACGAGTCCGGACCGGGGGCAGCTGGTGGAGCCCTCAGAGTTCCTGGGACCTGACGGTGATGGAGTAGAAGTGGTGGTGTTGGAGTCCCGTGCCAATGCTAAAGGGGTGCGAGAAGAAGATGCCCTGCTGGAAAATGGCAGCCAGAGCAATGAAAGCGATGACACCAGCACAGACCGAGGTCCTGAGCCAGCCTCACCCCTTAAGGAGACCTCCTTTTCCATCGGGCTGCAAGTCCTCTTTCCGTTCCTCCTGGCAGGCTTTGGAACAGTTGCTGCTGGAATGGTGCTGGACATTGTGCAGGTAGGACTGATACTTCCCTGGCATGGCGCTGAATCCTGTCTCTGTAGACCATGGCTTGATCCCAAGCCAAGAGGGACTCGAATGTCAAGGCTCATTCAGCAGATAGGTCTCCTCCCCTCGCTACTTTGTATGCTGGTTGGGGTAGGGGGAGACGGGGGGGACCTCAGTGATGTCTGGAGTGAGAAGAGGAGGGGCTGCGGGCACCCCTGCACTGCAGCTGCCCTAGTTGGCTCAGAGGAGGTTACAGCTGGCACATGTGCAGCCAAAGCACCTGCCTGGGAACTGAGACCACTCTGTGCATTGCAGATTGAAATAGAGGATTCTCCTGATGGTGGCTGTAGGCATCCGAGCTCCAGTCACCAGTTCCACAGGCCCTGTGTCCTTTTCCATCTCAGATGTTTGCTGTGCTGTTCAGGCATGCTGGGCTCGTGCCAGCCAGGTTAATAATTCGCCTGTCGCAGGTGGTGGGGGGCACTTGCATGGAGACTCGCTCTGAAGGTTGGCTGCGTGGCCCTTACGCTGCCTTCTCATGCTCTTGAAGTGGTCAGGGGTGACTGGGCTAACAGGGTGGTTCCTCCTGAGCCATGCATGGATGGGATCCTTAGGAGAGGCCAGCCAGAGGGCTAGCTGATACCCCTGCTGAAAACTGATGTGTTACCAGACGTGGTATCTTGTTAGGTCTCTTGTGACAGGAGACACTGCGAGAAGCCGACAGCCGTGCAGCTTGCTTAGGTTTTATGTAGGAAGTGTGACTTCATGGACTCTGGCTCCTGCGCCGGTCTCTAGCACAGGTTCTCCAAGTGTGTGTCCCTGGCAGCAGATCAGCTACTTCACCTCTTCTCCTCTGCTCTGACACACAGGCTGTGCCAAGTGGTCTTGATGCCCAGCCCAGAACAGTGACCGAGGCACAAAACTCAGTCATCCGTGCAGCATAGGTTTGTGAAACTATGTGGATGGAGGAGGTAGCCATTTTGGAGCTGTGGTCAACCAAAAATGGTCTGCTTGAAGCTGCTCTGTTTGCTTAAGTGGAATAAACAAGCCCTTGCGGAGTTGGCATAGGAAGACTCGAATGTCAGTCACTTGTCTGTGTTGCTGGCAGTTACAGTCATCTCCACCCGAGCTGTGTGCCAGTAGGGTAAATCAGGGTTTTTTTTGTATTTGTGGGTGGTCAAGCAGACAACTCCTCTTGCTTTCTTGCCCCTAATGACTATTTTTCTTCATGCCTTTGCACGCTGGTCATCCTTACGGTCTCACTTGATGCAACCTATTGAGAGCTGTGAAGTGACTCAAAACGGGAAAGACTGGCTGTGCTAAATTAATGTGGGAGAGATTTACCAGAATAATTTTCTTGAAAAGAAAGACATTTCAAGCATGTTTCCTTTTGCAAGGTCCCTGTAAACTCATGCATGACTCTCCTGGCGATTTCCCAGACCCAGTGATTTGAAACCAGCCTAAAGTCCTTCCTGGAGAAGGAACAGCCCTCTGGCCAGGGAGGAGCAGGGCAGGGGTGGGATACTGCGGCACACTGCTGTGTTCTCCTGCCTTTTTTTTAAATGGCCATTAGAAATAAAGCTGCATAATTCCTCTGTCCCACAGCAGCTCAGCATGTGGCTATGCAGCTTGTCCTGCCAACTCCTCTAACTCCCTTTAGGTTTGGGATTAAATGAGGCATCTAAATGCCGTAGGGTTGAAAAGGGGGACGGGAAGCATGCGGTCTCGGCTTGCTTGCCTGCAGAGTCTGGGGAGCTGATCTTGATAACTGGCTTCCCAGAGACTCAAAGCTTTGGATGAAAGGAGGAAAGCGTGTGGAGTGGGTAGCTGGTGCACTGGGGTGGACTGGAGTCCCATTGCTTTGGATGCAGCCATGGTTTGTGATGGATGGAGGGCTCCATACACTCAATTTCCTCTGTTTTGGATAAACGGAGTAATCAGCCAGCTGTAATTGGTCTCCCCACTGTGAAAGCAAGCAACCCTGGCCTTTGGCCATGCTGTCACATTAATATGTCCCTATGAATTTGCCTCTCAGGAGGAGAATTTGCCTCTGCTCCTTTTAGGATTGGAGAGACCTTTGGGTCCGGTGACATGTGAGCACACCAGCTGCTTTTTTGTGTACAGTAGAGGACTATTGGCACAATCACCTCTCCCACCAGAGCCCAGATTGTTGCTTCCCAGACTTGTCAGCTCCCTGGAGGTCCTTTGGATGGGGTGCACAGTATTTTGTACAGAGAAGGGAATTTGCTTGTTTCCCCTGCTTGACCACGCCTGGTGTTAACATCCCTCTGAGGCAATTCGTTGGGGCCAGTGGGGAGTGCCAGCCCTGGAGCTGTAGCTCTCCTGTTAAGGCTGCTTGTTCATTGGCATTTTGGAGGCAGAGCACTGGGAGAAAGTCCAGAGGAGGCCACGAAGATCATTAGAGGTCTGGAGCCCCTCTTCTATGAAGACAGGCTAGGAGAGTTGGGGTTCTTGAGCCTGGAGAAGAGAAGGCTCCAAGGAGACCTTATAGGAGCCTTCCAGCACCTAAAGGAAAAAGGAAAGCAGAACAGGGACTTTTGACAAGGGCGTGTCGTGATAGGACACGGGGCAATGGATTTGAACGGAAAGAGGGTAAATTGAGGTTAGATATAAGAAAGAAATTCTTCACTCTGAGGGTAATGAGGCACTGGAACAGATTGCCCGGAGGAGTTGTGGCTGCCCCATCCCTGGAAGTGTTCAAGGCCAGGCTGGATGAGGCTTTGAGCAACCTGGTGCAGTGGAGGGTGTCCCTGCCCATGGCAGGGGGGTTGGAACTGGATGACCTTTGAGGTCCCTTCCAACCCAAACCATTCCATGATTCTGTGTGAAGCAGCAGCACCAAGGCAGTCACAGCTCCGACCTGCAGCACGTCCCTCCCCTCTGAGCTCTCATAAATCCCCATCCCACTATAACCTGAGCAAGCCACGCTGTTACTCATGACTTTTATAAGCCTTAGCTTTGCAAGCGGTGACTAAAAATGGCAGAGACTGAGAAGCAGCTGTTACCCTGGAAATATCTGTTGTCTGCAGGTGCAAAGCTTCTAAAAGGCAGCGAGCCTGGAGGAAACTGCAAAACACCACCTGGGGTTTGATGTTTCTTCCAAAACCTCTGGCAAACTGGGGTCTGATCTTGCCCCTCCAGTGCTGCACAGGAGAGACCAGGGTCTGGTGGCTCTGGTATCTGGGTAGATTTGTGTTCAAAGGGACCATGGCCTTAGTAGAAAATGAAGCTGAAATAATTTTAACCTAGATTGCATGTAGCCTCTATGCTTCCCCTCCCCAGAGGGCAGGAAGGAGATGCTGGAGATCAAGTGTTTCCCTTCTAATTCCCTTCCACAGCTCTGCTGAAAGCCAGCCAGGAGCCCCCGTCCCCCCCAGTGCACTGTGTTCGCCTTTGCGTGGAGCAGACTGGACAATCTTGGAGGGTCTTGTGTGCTGTATTAGCCTCCCTCCTCGCCCCTGGAAACAGCTTATTTCTGTGCTTCTCGGAGGGGCTGTTACAGGGCAAAAAGGGATTTTAACAGCTCGATGTCCTGAACTTAAATTCATATTTCCTCTCCTCTTTCTCTTTTTTGTCTTTCCCAAACGGTCTGGCTCCGGTTCTCCCCTTGGAGCCACATCGTGGGCATGTCTCTGCAGGCAACTTTCTTCTCTGCAGGAGCCAGGGAGGCCTTTGAGACGTGCTAAATGCCCGTAGACCGGCGTTGTATAACATCTAATATTAAGAAAGTTGGCAGGAGCCCATGGGTCCTGCTCTTTGCAGTGAGCAAGCTGCTGATGTCTGCAGAAATCTCCTTGTTTTCCTTCCCTGAAGATGGCTTTTATTCTTTTCTCCAGGAACACCCCTGTCTTGCTCAGGGAGCTGCTTTAGCAGGCTCCAGTTACAGCGGCCTCTGGCACCAGCTTGCACCACAGCCTCCCTTGAAGGTTAATTTACAAGGCAGGGTTGGGATAAGGTGAGGGAGGGCTACGAACTTGTGCTGACTATTGCCTGATCCTGCCTCTGTGATCTCTGGAGGCAGAAGGAGCCAGGAAACTTTTGCACAGCACTTCCAGCCTGCAGTCTGACTAATAACGATATTCCTTTCATTAGGTGGTTCTGGTGACACCCAGCTCGTCTTGCGGGGAAGTGGGAGCGTGTTGCTTGCTGATCGAATTCCAGATACTGCTAAGGGAAGTCATAGCAAAGGATTGACTGGTACAGCAAGCAGCAGAATAATCATAATGCCTGCCTAAAAATAGACTGAGGAGAGCCAAGCTTGCCCGTTCCTAGTTGTGACCTTAAAGGAAGTACAGCTGAACGTGCTGCTGTGTCAGATGAATTATTTCAGACCGATTCTCCCTCCTGCCTCTCCTACCCTGCTCAAATGAACTCAGATGTCCCCCTGCCCTGGGAGCTGTGCAGCACCGTACCCGTTCAGAGCACATCTGGCTGCGGTGGACAGGTCTCCCAAGTCAGGAGCTTAGCTTAATTGTGCAGGGGGTGCTTGGAGCAGGGGCCACAGGGACCACGGTGAAGTCCTGAGGCTCTGCCCATCACAGTAGCTGGGAGAGGACTGGTCACTGCATGAGAGTCTGGAGTCAGGGTATCCTCGGGAGCCTTGTCCTCGGGCAGAGAGAGGGTTGTGCCTGTGCCTGAAATAGCTGAGCTGCTTTCATCTGTGCACCTGGGAGCTGGAGAGCATGGTGAGCGTGTCTTACCAAGCTGTCAGAAACATTAAGGGAGTTTTTATTGACTGGAAAACAGTTTTTTCCCTTTGAGGGAAAAATGGTCCCAGTTCATCCATCTCAAGCACTTACCTGCCCGCTGCGATCACAGTTTTCTCTCAAATGGTTTTTCAAGTGAGTGCAGCATTGCAAAGGGCCTGGCAGGAAACTGGGGTCTGTTGGCGCGGTGGTGAAGGTAAAACAGCACAAAGGATGGAAAAATAAACAAAAATAGCTGAAGTCCTTCCCCACAGGAAGGTGTTAGTCATGCAGGTAGAGTGACTTGTATTTGCTGTAAGGTGTTGGCCGATAGTGTTCCTTGTCTAGAAGAAGTACGTGTCCTGCCCTGGAGAGTGCTGCCAGAGATGGAGCCTGCTGCAGGGGACGTTTGCAGGAAGAAAGCTGCGTGAGCTGGGACCCCTAACGTGTTCAGCGCAGCAGCCAGCTGTTGAGAGTGCGATTCCAGCTGTGCTCGGTGTCCTTTAAGGAGTATGGCAGTCAGGCAGTGTGGGAAGTGGGAGTTATTTTGGACGCAGGGCCTTCTTGCAAAACATTCGTGAAAAGAAAGAATCGGGCAGTGAGGTTTTTGGAGCTTGCAGGATTTTTTTAAAATGCGGTTGTGAGGTTTTTTTTGGGGGGTGGTTTTGTGTTTTCACAGAAGTCAGCTGCTCTCCTTTAAGACTGCTTACCCTGCAATTACTTTTTTTTTTTTTTCCCCCTAAATAACCATGGCTGCCTGTTCTGCCTCGTGCCCCAGAGAGCTGACTCGACTGTGGAGCCAGAGTAGTTACTACATACCTGAGTAACGTAGGTGGCAGTGGCGGGGGGACACGCATCTCCTGGCTGAGGAAGGGGGAACAGAGACCACAGAGGGCTGCTTTTGGAGCTGGCAGGATCAGGGAGCAGCAATGCCTTGCTCCAAAATGTATTTGT